AAATAAATGAGTAGATAGATAGAAAAATAAATAAATAAGACCCTGCCTCATGACTACAGGTGATGGGCTGGGCACCACGGTGGCACAGAGACACAGGAAAACCATTACAGCCCCCTCCTCCCTTAGGACCGAGCCTCACTCTCCACCTGGATCAAACAGCGCCAACTCCTCATTTTCTAGGCTTTTCAGCGACTTCTGGCCCCACAGCCCCCCCCCCCTTGAAACCTCAGCCTGTCCTTGGTTTCCATGTCCCTCTCAGCCATCCTTACCCCTTCATGAGGGGTCCAGGGGCAAGTGATGCTGGTAGAGGTCCTGAGGGGCACCCTGTACTCTTCTCCCTGCCCTGGGTGCTTGTTCCCAGGCATCCTGGGAGAAGACATACAATAAAACATTTGCCCCTGAATAGCTGTGGGGTGCCCACTATTTGTACACCTAGTTCTAAGCCCAGGAGATGCTTACTAAATAGAACAGAGTTACTAATTAATTGACACAAACATCAGGTGAAGAAAGGCCATCCCATTTTTTATGCAAATGACAAGTTACAAGCATCATCGTGGGTGCTGCCCTGCCAAGTGGTCCCAGGACACAGGGACACTAAGGCCAGGGGGCCATCGAAGACCCAAGAGCATCTTTCTCTTTCGTCTGTTTTGTCATTTGTAGTTCACCCTGGCCTCTCATAGAACTAAAATGACAGGGACATCTTTCTACTAGAACTACTATTTCTACTATTGCTACTGCTCACGATAACGATAAGCAACAATATTACCTAATATCACTGAGCACTTACTATGTGCCAGTCTGTGCTAATCACTCACCACACATGGCCTCCATCAGTCCTCACAAAAACTTTGTACGCTGTCCCCATCTCACAGCCGAGGAAACAGAGGCACAGGCAGCTAAGCCAAAGGGCACTTGGTGACAGGCCCAAATTCTCACACAGGTGTTTCTACCCTGAGTCCGAGATACAACCACCAGGCTAAACTTTTGCTCCTGACTCTAGAATGCTGATTTATTTGTAAGTCCAGATGTCCACCATCCTGATGGCCCGAAGAGAGAGTGAGAGCCGCTAATGCCCATGCAGTTAGATCTGTCTGGAGTGTGAGGACCTTGAGGGGAAGGCCACCAGTGAATTTGCCATGACAGAACTCTCATCTGCTCCAGGTACTTCGCGTTCTATCTACAGAGCGCGGTTCAACCTAAGAGAATACAGAGCCGGAGCTGACTAGGCAGAAATGATACAGTGCAGCCCTCAGTTTTTCTCGGTTTTGACACCTTCTGGTATGTGCCAAATTAGCAATAAATTCTGAGGAAAACCTCCGAGGGAAAGCCCCTCCTTCACGCAAAGCAACTGATACTTTGCAAGGGAGGATTGTTGATTATTCTGTGATCCCACTCAGCTTTCCCATTCAGAAGGCTTTCACCAGAAAAGCTCGATTGGTATAGCCATTTGTGTTCTCATTTCAGGAAGGAAATCAAAGTTTGTCGGGGCACGTGGGTGGCTCATTCCAATAAGTGGCTGATTCTTGATTTCGGCTCAGGTCGTGATCTCATAGTTTGTGGGATTGAGCCCTGAGTCAGGCTCTGTGCTGACAGGTCAGAGCCTAGAGCCTGCTTCGGATTCTCTGTCTTCCTCTCTCTCTGCCCCTCCCTTGCTCGCACTCTGTCTCACTCTCTCTCTTAAAAATAAGTAAACATTAAAAAAGTGTTAAAAAAAATTGCAAACTCGGATGTAGCGTCTTAATGTTAACTGTTCTGAATTTCCCTATGTGAGTTCAAGTTAAGGAGAAAAAGAAAATGGGTAGTAGCTTCCAGATATAATTCCAGAAAAGCAGGAGACTATTATAACCTTGCCAGTCATTACTACAAATACAAAATTTTTCACCTACTTTCTTCATATGATTTTTATTTCATCTGTTTTCCTATGTCCATATGTCTGAGATTTCTTTTCACGTATTTAGCTATTATTTACTACTAGTAATGATATACTTTCCTCTGTACACAGAGATAGTTTATAATAATGCTGACATTTATTGTGTATCTACTATCTGCTATGCCTCATGCGTATATTTCACAAGAATCATCTCATTTAATCCCCACAACAACCCTTCGGGAGAAGAAACATTCCCTTTTCCTGGGCACCAGATGGTTAAGCATCTTGCCCAGAATCTCAGAGTAACTAGTGAGAACAGGAAGACGGTAATGCTAACAATTATAGGCCAGTGAACCCTCTCCCTCGTTAGCCCTGGCCACACCTCCCTTTGATGTCAATGTCTGCCATGAACATGGGAATATATTATTTTGAGAAGGTTTAGAGCACTGGCCAGGACAGTGGATTGCAGCTGGGTAATCTACTCAACAGTGGAGCTGACCATGTTGGCCTCAGGGCTGATGCACTTACCAGCCATCTAACTAACCACTGCCATGGCCTCAGTCCTGGGCCAGGCACTGTGCTCTCTCCCCAACCTGGACCACTGCCACCAGGTCCTCGCTGATCTCCCTGCCTTCTCTCTTGCCCCTTTAATCCACAGTGCCTTCTCCATCCAGCAGCCCCTGGAACCATCTTGAATAGACATAGAATCATGTCTCTACCCTGCTCAAAATCCTTCCATAGTTTTCTATCCTTACTTAGAATGAGTGTATTCACGATCTGACTTAGCCGTTTAAAAGGTCACTCTGTCTGCTCTGTACTGAGCAGGGGAGAGGCAGGAGTGAAACAGGGAGACCTGTTAGGAGCCTGTTGCTGTGGCCCAGGGGGACATCCTGGTGGCTTGACTGGGGAGCAGCAGTGAGGATGGAAAAAGTGGAGATGTATTTTGGATGGAAAACCCCGAAGAACTTGGTGATGGGTTGCACGTCTTTAGGCGCTGTTTTAAAATCTCATCAGAAGCATTTATAAAGGTTGCTCTAGTTTCCCAAGGTCATGGCCTTCCAAACCAATTGAAATAGAACCAATATAGACTGACCTCCTACTATGTATCAAGAACCATACTAAGAATTTAAAAAGAACAACAAGGTTCTGTGCTAGGAATTTAGAAATAAGAATTTAGAAAGGAGGAATAAGGTTCCTTCCCTCAAAGAGCTCACAATCCAGTAGGAACAATAAATAGAAAAACAAAGTATAGCAGTGTAATCGTTGGAACAGAGGAATCATCAACAAGGTCCAGGGGGGAAGACATCAAGGTAGGGACTGAAACTTAGGAAGAATGTGAATTTGAACATAAGTTGCTGAGAGAAGACATTGTGCGGCATGTGCAAAATTACAGAAGTGTAAACCTTCCTGGTGTGGTCAGGGATTACAGATAATGTGACGTGCTGATGCTGAGTCTAGACAGTCAAGGAGGGCCAGAAAATGAGCAGGTTTTCAGGCCAGGTCAAGGTGCTGGATTTTATCTCTATACACCGTGATTTCCCTGAGTGTATTTCTATCACTGACGGTACACAGAATCATTTTAGTGATGTATAGACAAGCATATGTTCGTTAAATAGCTACGAGCTATTAAATTTAATTTAGTTCGTTAAATAGTTACAAACTAAATTAAAATATAATGTATTTTAATGTGAGCTACATAATGTATAACTAGTGGATCAAGACTATCCTGAGGTTTCTTTCAAAATGAATGTAGTCATGTATCGTAAGTGAATTTGAAGGAATATGTCAAGTAAACCATAGAATAGGTGGACAGATACAGGATAGATCGTGAAAGTGGAATGTGAGTGGGTGAAGTTTGAGGCTCCCCTCATGTAAACAGGGGAAACCCACTGGAAGAGTTTCATCAGGGAGAGGCGTGACAGCATCTGCAAATGGCAGGCTGCATCTCCTGGCCAGGAGGGGGATGAAAATCATTCTGGGTGTCCCTGACACCCATTAAAAGTTTCCTCTACAGTTGTCCATGGAAATACAACTGTGGGTGGGGCTGAAATAGTGTGGGTGTGAAGGGTAGAGACTGAGAAGAGTGATGAACTTTGCAGGAAGTGAAAATCAGCCATCCATGGTAATGAAGCACTAAGGATGAGGGCACAAAAAAAAACCCAGGATGATTCCTGGGTTTCTGGCGTAAAGATCTGAACACATTTTGGCCACCAGCCAGTTCCCCGAGCCCCTGAAATTTGTCAAACAGTATAAATTTTAATTGGGTGCATTCTTCTTTATGTTCCAAAGTGGAAATTCTGTCAGATTCCAGGTGAAGGGAGGATTTGGAAGTTGTCCAGTTGATTTTTATAGCAGAAAAAGCCAGCTTGGGAACTTGAGCTGAATGTTTTTGAATATGACCAGATCTCTCCTCACTGGGTCCAGTAGAGCCGGAAAACCAGGTGCCCCACTTCCTTGATCAGGGCCAGTTTAGGGTGTGTCAATCCACAAGCCAGCGGAGTAATTCGCGATTGAATTAGTAAGACTGCTCATAAAATCTCGAGAGAGCTTTGAGTTATTCCTCTGTAATTCTTACTTCTCCTCTTATTTCATTATTCTGTATCACGCTTAATTTCCATCAGCAGAAGAGCATTTGAGGAAAGGGGAACAGGACAGAGAGGACTTTCTATGTTGACTTGAAATTTCCTCCCTGTAATATACCTACGTTTGACAGAATTACAGCAAAAGAGGGGGCCAGCTCCTGGCTGAGGATCGATGGGAGGTGAAGGGGCTGGTTGTAGGATTGAGCATTCTTTTTCTCCCTCGTGCAACTTTGGCAGGAGTCTTCCTATCTCATGGACTTTTAGCACGTACGAAAATTAAGTCTCAGTGCCACATTTTCCAAGGTGCTTTCTGGAATCAATCAAGGAATATAAGTCAAGTGTGATGAGGGGCCACAGTTCTTTCTGGGAGTGGAAGTGAACCTTGCCTTCTGTTCTTTATCCTCAGTCTCACAGCGCCAAAATTCACGTTCCTTTTCTGAGCTGTGTGCATTTCCTCGTTTAGGAGTACCAAGCTTCACGGTCAAGTGAATGAAACAGTGCAGTTGCTCAAGCATTAATGCAACTCTGGTCTTTTTCCTTTTCCTTAGGTATTTATGGGCCATCGGTAAGAATGTCTGGAAGAGATGGAAGAAAAGATTTTTTGTATTGGTCCAGGTAACTCTTCAACTTTTTCTGTCTTAAGTGCCATCAGTATTAAAGATTCGATAGGATTAATTAATGGTTTTTATTTGAGGTATAACTTAGAGCACACAGTGCTCAAGCATTTGGCTTAATGAATTCTCACCCTTTGTATAAGTATGTGGCCACCATTCATAGGGATGTAGAAATATCTAGTACCCACAGCACTCCCTTGTGTTCCTTTTCCCCATATTTATATCACTTTATTATTTTTTTAATTTTTTAATGTTTGTTTATTTTTGAGGGAGAGAGACAGAGTGCAAGTGGAAGAGGTGCAGAGAGAGAGGGAGACACAGAATCCGAAGTAGGCTCCAGGCTCCGAGCTGTCAGCACAGAGCCCAACGTAGGGCTCGAGCTCACAGACTACAAGATCATGACCTGAGCCGAAGTGGGACACTCAACTGACTGAGCCACCCAGGCGCACCTATTGCGTCACTTTAAAATTATAAAAATTACTGCATGCTCATTATTTTAGAATCTAGAATATAGGAGTACGTACAATAAGTAGGAGAGGTGAATGCCCTGTTATATGAGACCCCAGGGAACAAGTGAGCATGTGCCTGGTCAGGCCAGTAGGAACACTGACATTGTTTTAGAAGAATGTGCTATTTCTAAAGGTACTAAGATACTCATTATGAAAAAAAAATCAGAATTTACTTAGACTTTTGGCATCTCTTTTACTGTTTGGTATGCTTGATTTTGAATTTCCTGGCAATGGGGGGAGTCTGCCACTCTTCTTGATTCGTGGGGCTTCCAAAAGTCTTCACTGACCTCCTTTAACTATGTTGAACAGTCTGGAATATATCTTTCCAGATAGACTTTTTAATTTTTTTTAATATACGACTAAACTGTGTTATCCTGCAGCTTGCTTTTTGTTTTCTTAACATCAATCACTGTAGACATTCTTTGACATTTTCATAGATAGCTCTGGTTCAAATACCTGTAGAATTTTCCTTTTGGTAGGACTGTGGGATTCCCCAGTGGAGACTATTATTAACCATGCAGGAAGGAACATCCATCTATATATAGATACAGATGTAGGTGCAGATATTGGTATTAGTAATACATGAGTAATGTATAAATAGTACCTTTGCTCTCCTGTCTATTTAAGAAAAACTGTACAGAAATAGTGCTATTCGTCCTTGAGAATCTCCTCTAAGAATCAGTTCATCTGTTTCCTGCGTCAGGATTTTTCCGTTTACAAGAGCATTTGCCACTGCCTCTTTTTAGTTTGCAGTCTCCATTAGAACATACACACTGTGAGTTAATTTACAAGAAATATTCATATATACTGTATTCTGGATGATGCCACAAAGCGAGGCAACTTGTAGTCTGGTGACTAAAGATGTTCATCGGGCTACTGTGTTCACCAGAGGCATTGACTAGTATTTAGAGCCATTCCAATTCTAAACCCTCACTATAAAGCAACTGTCTCTTAGGCCTGATGGCCTTGAAGGTCCTCCCAACCCTAACCTTCTAAGATGAGACTTCCTGTAGTTCTTGTTAAGTCTGTGCTGTGTCACTAAGGCAAAATGCATCTCTCTGGCTATTAGCAAGAGTTCATCTTTGCTTTTGTGATTGTGCTGGGGTAGAACAAAACCTTACACTAAATTAGCCCAAGGAAAACATTGGAATGGTGACCAAGCTCCCATATAAGCCACAGCTGGGCAAGGAGGACATTTCATCCCAAGATACATTTTGTCAAACTATCAACTCCAATATTGTCTGAGCATCTCCTCTGTGTAGGGCCCTTGGTAGGTCATAGAGAAGAACTATGAGGACTAGTCTCTCACTTCCAGAAGGGAATCTGTTAGAAGTGGTTTATATATGCAAGCAGCAGAAAGAGACCCAAGCTAATTAAGGTCATAATAATAATAGTAGTAATAATAATAATGTATTAGAAGACTCTTAAGGTAGTTTATAGGATTGTTGAAAAGGCTGAATGAGCCAACTTTACTACGACAGGACCCAGAATAGTTCCAGAAATCCAGGCGGAGAGAACCATGGCCGTGTCATCAACGTGGTCCTAAGGGAAAGTCGGCTCTGACCGTTTTCCACCCTTGCATCTCCATTCAGTGGCCGAATGTGAAAGAGAGATTGGTTGACCCTGAGTCACATACCCAACTTGTAGCAGGGGCAGCCCATGGCGCTTTGATGAGCAGTCCCACTGGGCCGTCTCTAGTGCAAAACCAGGATGCCATTACCAGAAGGAGAAATGGATGGTAGACAAGCAAAAACAGCTGCTGTTCATTCTAAAGAGGGGGCATTAAAAATGGAGAGACAAAATGCACCAAGAGGTAGCACAGGATTACAGACAGTTCTTCCCCATCCAGCACCTCTCGCCGGGCATAGCGGCCTTTCTTGGTATCACTTGTGAGTTGGCCTGGCCTCTCCCATTAGATTGCATGCTGTCTCAGGGCCAGTTTGGCTTCCGATTCATCTTTGGGTCCTTCCTTCTTTCCCCCACCACACAAGTACACATCCTCTACTTCAGTACCTGACATGGGCATCCGGGAAGTGTTTGGTGGAAGAAAGAAGGAAAAGGAAGAGTGAGAAGAAGCACCCGGGCTAGGCTTCAAGTGGTTCTGAGAAACAGAAGATCAAATGGCCTGGAGAGTGGCCGGTGACAACCTCCCAGAGGAAGTAGGAGAAGTGGCCCTCTCCCCATGATACGGAATCTCCCCTCCTCCTCTGAGCTAGCCCATTATTGGTCCACTGGACACATGACTTCTCTCTGAAAATCTTTGAAATGACGAAATACTTAGGAGAAATAGCTGACCTCTCACTCTGCAAGCGATTTCAGGGAGAAGAAAACTCTTCAGGAAAAAAAAAAAACACGAGGAAATGTGCCAAAAATATTATGAAGCCTGTCTGTACAATATGTACTGAACTGAAAAGGAGAGAATGATTTTTTTAGGCAGTATAACTGGAAAACAGTTATTTCAGGGCCTGCACACTGAGCTTTCTACCACAACAAGATAGGAATCGCGCAGTTGCTAATCGTGTAGCTCTGCACTCACTTGTGGAAACCAGCAAAGGACATACCAGCCCGTTTAAAGCTCAGCATCTTTCCTAACCAGCAGAAGAGAACAATTTCAGGGTTTTAGTAGGTTTCACTTACACATGGTTCTCATAACTTTCAGAGCCATTGAGGTGCATTGGGGACCTTGATCCTCCAAACGTAACCGTCAGTTTCAACTTAAATCACATTCCTCCTTTAGCAACCTCTGTGACTGGCAGAGGTGACATGTCAGCCCACCATCACAAAGCCCTATTCACCACAATGTCTAAAAGCACTTTCATCCTGCCTAGAAAATACCACATTATTGGGGCGCCTGAATGGCTCAGTTGGTTAAGCGTCCGACTTTGGCTCAGGTCATGGTCTCACGGTTTGTGAGGGTTCGAGCCCTGCATTGGGCTCTGTGCTGACAGCTCAGAGCCTGGAGCCTGTTTCGAATTCTGTGTCTCCCTCTCTCTCTCTGCCCCTCCCCCACTCATGCTCTGTCTCTCTCTGTCTCAAAAATAAATAAACTATTAAAAAAAATTTAGAAAATACCACACTGTCTTTGGATTCTTCCCACTTTCTCCTCCGTTAAGTGATCACATTGTTTGCAGGTGCTTTATCAAAATGATAACCAAAATACTCACCCCCTTTGAAACAACCCCAGGGCCATAATAGTTATGAGACATGTTCAAGGCCACCACGTCTGGCCCAGTTCAAGGGAAGGGAGATCTCTCAGGCTGCTTGAAGAGAAGGACAATGGAACAGGCAGTAAGAATCTGCACGCAGTGTTGATTTCAGCCCCAGGTCCAAACGATCACCAGTTTCTTTTAGCCTCCCAACCCTTCCATCGAAACTCAAAATGCAAAAGGAAAACCAGGAGGACCACTCTGGCTAAATGTGGGTAGGGGCGAAGGAGACGGGGAGGGAAACAGATGTCCCTCAGCCTGCCCCTCAGTCCCCAGGCAGCCTCGGAACACGCTTCAAGGACATTACTGTGCAAATCGCACACAGAGAGTGTATCTACCCGAATGACTTACTAAATGTTTCTTCCTTTCTACTCAGATGTTAGTCTCAGGAAGTATTTTTATAGAGAGTCTGCAATACATAATTCCCAACACAATTATGAATTCCATTAAATTTAATTCAAGGAAAACAGTTTGGAAAACCAAAGAGGAAGAGAACACACCCAACACCAGTCTCCTCAAAATCATCTCCCCTCCCACCCCCGGCTCTCCCCCTCTGTCACGAATGCAGACAAGCACACAAAACTATTTTTTTTTTTTTTGGTCTGTAATGCAGAACTATTAAAATTCTCCCTAAGTGAGATTTCCTTTTAGTGTTACTACCTTGGGGGAACCAACAGATAGATTGTAAATGGACTTCCTACTAGCCATGGACAAAGGACATCCTCAGAGGGGTTTTGAACCAAAGCAGTATTCCGATTTTTAAGGATTGGGGCCAAAAGCATGATGGATGTGGCTGGAGGCTGCCCCCAAGCTGGGGTGTGTGTGTGTGTGTGTGTGTGTGTGTGTGTGTGTGTGTGTGCGCGCGCGCGCGCGTGCGTGAGTAGAGAGCGGGTTCTGTGCCACAGACTTAAGTCTTCCTATGAAATGAGAGAGAAAGACAGTGAGAAGACAGTGAGCAGGGGAGGGGCAGAGAGAGAGGAAGACACAGAATCCAAAACAGGCTCCAGGCTCTGAACTCATGAACCATGAGATCATGACCTGAGGTGACGTCAGACGCTTAACCGACTTAGCCACACAGGCACCCCTATGTGACTCTTCTAATAATGCTAACAGTTGCTCACATCTGTGTGGCCTTTAGACTTTGCAAAATGTTCATCAAGTTGGTCTTTACAGCCTTTCTGTAATACAGTGAGGACATGTCTTATCCCATTTCATATTTGAGCAAAGTGAGGCTCAGAGTGGTTAAGTGACTTGCCCACGGTCAACAGCTAATAGGCCGCCAATGT